TTGAATTAAGTGACTAAAAAAATAAAATTACAGCTCCTCCCCCAAACTATACACAAAAGCAACATGTATGGTAAATATACAAGGTGACTTCTAGACATCAAATTGGTGGGACAAATCATCTCTGCACTATAAGCACAGGCTAGTATGATGTACACAGAAGAGCGAAAAGGGAAAGAAGAGGTGGAGAAATATTAGCTGTCTAAAGTATCTAGAGAACTTCAGAAAGAAAAGGCAAAACTTTGGATATGATTAAGAAAGACATTAAAAAACAAACCCAAACCTATTCCAATTTCTTAACAAGAGAACATCAACAACAAAGTTATTATTATGCTAGCTTTCACAGTATTGGAACCACCATCTTTTCTTTTGTTCAAGGCTTGTATAGTGCACCTAATTCAATGGGGTCCTGGGTCAGTGACTCTGGCTCCTACATGCTGTGGTAATAAGTTACTTACTGAGGGAACAGGGCAGTCACCCCACAGATATCTAGGTAGCTAATAAATATATAGTGAGCCAAGACTCAAGAGACTCCCAAGTTACCAACAGCAAAGTCAAGACTTGTTATCCACGTATAAGAGAATCCAAAAAGCACAATTATTCTTAAGACTATAGTTGTATATATTTAAACAAAGCAAGCTATTTTTCATGAAAGGTAACCAAAACAGGACAAATGTGCAAACCAAGATGTACAGCACATTAACAGCACTGCTTCCTCGCAAAGGCAAATACACAAGCTAAATAAAAGTACACTTGAGTTGTGTACTGGAATGGCTCTAAACTAGGCTTTCATTTTCAAAATTACTCGAGAGTCTATTATAATTAGCAAATGTACCTGACAGTTTTACATCTCAATATGGTATATAATTAAAACCAGGCAACTCCAGCTCTGTTGCAAGTTCTACAGGCTGTCAAAACAGACAAGCAGGGAAGTATAGCCTCCCCCAAATATACTGGAAACATGCGTACAAAGATAATATTTTGGACACAAAAGTAAGGGAATATACAAAATTAACTCATCCTCACAACACTTTGTAAGTTAAGTAAATAGTAGTTTATAGATAAGAAAACAGAGACACAGGGTTAAAGTATCTTCCCCAGGTCATGTGGTATCAGTGTGAGAACATGGAAAAGAACAAGAAGTTCCTTGCTTCCAGCAGTAGGTAAAACATTATCTTTACACAGGCATGGGAAGACAAACCAAATACTTCAGGGTTAAAAGAGGCTGGGATTTCCTGCATGTCAAGTGCTACAAAGTAACTACCCAGGTGCATGCTCTTATCCCAGGGTAGGTGGAAACTAAACCACTGCAGTTCAATTAAGCTCAGTGAAAGATGACCAAGCTGTGGTAGGCTAGCTTTCATTTGCTGTGGGGCAAGAGCATGCACATTTACAGTCATGGTGGAGCAGCTGATTACTCTCCTTTTACCCTCATGACAGTTAATTGATCCACCCATGAGTAAGCAGCTAGCATTCAACCCACAGTCATCTTGGCATACAATTTGATAGAAAGTTCAGGTCAGAAGTTTGCAGGAACTACAGACATAAATGCAAGAGGGGTCTTCTGTCTGTTTGCAACATGGAACTACGGAGTTTAGACCCACTGTAAAATAAAGTCAACTGCAGGAGAATCACCTTCTTACAAGTACTGGGGAACAAACTGAGCACCAGAGAATGCCCAAGCTGCTCAAAAATCAGAGGAGGGAATGAGTATATTGAAAGCACAGGAAAAAGTATCTGACTTCAATAATACAAGTTGAGTTTGGTCGTTTCATTTCCATTGCTAAGTAAGCATGAAGCAACCAGGCAAAGTCGGTTTCTTAGGCCTGCTTCATTTTAGGTCTACTTTACTTTTCATATATGGGGTTATCTGATTCTTGCCACTTTTTCCTTCATAACATTCCCCAAATATGGCACCACTTTCATCCAGACCCTAATCTCCACCAACACTTGCAAAATTGCCCCCCTAAAGCCCATTCAAAACATTGCTACAAAAGTTATCTTCCTTAATTTTCACCTTAATCATTTTACCTGCTGAGCCACTCCATCTCCTCACTAAGTCTCCACTCTTACCCTCTGACACTCAAACTTCTGCCCTTGACTACCAATTACATCAATTTACTGCTGTCTACACTCCAAACTTCTGTCTTCACCATCTATTAGTCTTTCTTCTACAAGCACCCAAAAAGGCTCTCTCCAATGTCACCTCTTACGTTATGCAAACTCCCCAAGACAATTCATTAAATCTACTTATTCTTCTTCAAATTCACTTGTACTACCAGGGCCAGTCAGGCATCATCTAGGAGCTAATGGCTACAGAGATGGAAAACATAAATGGCACACACCTAGCCTACACAGAAATATGCTCATCATCTCTTTCACCTTGTTATTAATCTAGGTGTTTTCTATAGCCACAAATTACTTGTTTGGCTAAAACAGTTTAAAAACCAACCCTTTTGTGGATGTTCAAATCTCTTGAAAACATCCCTATAAATTCAGTATCTATTGAACACGTGGTTCTCAACCTTTTTAGACTTGAGGCACCCCTCAGAAAATACTCTTAGTTTTTACTTGCTTTTTGAATACAGAAAATATAGTAGAGCAATTCTTCTGTTGCAGAAAACTCAGAAAGATCCCAACCAGTCAGAATGGTTTTTCACAATCTGGATTCTTCTTTGAAATCCTGGGTTTATCTTACAAGTCCCATCTGTACACCTAACAGTGGTATCATTGCTTGGTACCTGGCAGCAGCCTGAAAAGGATCTCAAGGTACCCCAGGATGCTGCAGCACCCTGGCTGAGAGTCACTGTATTAGACAGTCATATGGTCTCCCAAGTTACAAAAAATGCCAGTGAAAACAGAATTGGATTTAAAAAAAAAGAGAAATATACTTAAGGGAACATAATAATTGGTCAATGGGGGATGGATAAGATGGCCAAACTGTTCCTTTCTAATTTCTCTAATTGAAGAGACAGAAGTCACCTGACACCATAAATCCATAAACACAATTATACTCCACTGTCACTGTTCTGATGCAAGCAGTATTTATGATTTCATATGTTTTATGATCACCTTCTCTTCATCAAATTTGTTTGGGGGATGGAAAACGTCATTGTGGCTAAGTAAGTAAAAATGCCCTACAGATTCAAGGTCTATACTCAAGGATTTATCGAAATTGCAGCAAGTGAAAGGGCTTTGCATAGGCCACTTGTGAGCAGACTGATTTTGCAGCCTTTCTGCAGCAAGCCCACCCCTCACCACTGACTGGCCAAGGGGCCCCGGTGGCCCCATCCCTCACTGCTGACCGGCAGAGAAAGCTGTTTGTTGAGCGACCCTACCCCCCACTGCTGACTGGCCAAGAGGGCTGTCCATCATGTAGCCTGGCCCCTTGCTGATGATTGGCAGAGGGGTGGAGCTGTGTGGAGGGCAGTCCTCTTACCCAATCAATCAGCAGCAAGGGGTAGGGGGGCTGGTCACCATCTTGGCTGCTCCTCTTTGCACCAGCAGGCTGTAAGGACCACAGCTACCATGAGGAATGCTAGCTCCTCATTTTATTTTCAGTACTTTTTTGTGCTTTTGCAGATTTCGAATAGAATGCCCGATTCCGCGGTTTCTGCAAAATCCCTATCTATACTAGGTCACATATTCGATGTTGATTGCCAGTCCAGCAAGTGATACAGCTATACCTAGTACATGATACCAACAGATGTTTTGGAGCCCATGAGAGTAATTGATTGTACAGATTCACTTCAAATCAAATCCATCTCTATGTTGACATTTATGTTCAGCTCTATTTCTTGAACTTCATGGAAGCACAGCTTGGGAGACTGAAGGAACAGAAAGATTTTGCGCCCCTTCTTAGCAAAGCAACTGCCACCAACAAGATCCCATCATCCCCCAAAAATACTCTGATATATAAACAGAGGTGAAAGGAAGCCAGTGAAGAAAACCAAAATGTCATCTTTGCTTTGGTAAGTAACTGGAGTTTCAGAACCTTGGCTATGGGAAAATGTTACACTGCTGAAAGGGGCTTTTCTACAAAAGAGTGGTATTTTAAAGGGGTCTTTTCTGCCCATTTTTAGAGGCTATTTAAGCAGGCTGACTACATACAGCTCAGTCCTCCTCAGGCTACAGGTGACCACTAGATGGCACAGTCACGTGCAAACATGTTTGACAGGCAAGTTAAAAACTCTTCACAGGTCACATCCCGCCTGCCGGTTCAAGGTTGCCAACCTCTGCACTACTGTCTTCATTCCAGTGCCAGGCACACTGGGATTCTTCCAGCAAGCTGCACTACACATGAAATAGTTTCACGTCACTGAAACACTTGTGATGTTATAAAAACTTAGTGACATCCTTAAATAAATAAAAACTAAATGGAATACCCTGATAATTAAATAGTGAAGTAAACCAATATACAGCATAGCCTTATGAATCCAGCACACTTGGTTGGGACTGAGCACCTGCCAGAAATGTAAGAATTCCAGATTTTTTAAACCAGAGTGGTGGCTGGTCCCGGGCGAGGGGGAGGGGGGGGTAGTGACTGCCAGTCCCTAAGCAGCAGCCACACGTGGAGTGACAGCACAGAGTGGTGGATGGTGGCAGCAGCCGCTGTGTGTAAGCTCCCCCCTCTGCTGCTCCAAGACTGGCTGCTGCTACTCCCCAATGGAGTGTAGTTTTAAAAAGTGCTGGATTTTCAATCATTCTGGATTTATGAGGTTATACTGTACAACAAAACAGGAATGTGGGACCTAGGTAAAAGTTTTTGGTTGTTTGGGTTTTTTTGTTTGTTTTCTAACTGCCCCAGAGGGGGTTCTTTGATATTTAAAATAAGATCTGAGCCAGAACTAGAAGTGAAGAGAAATGGGAGGCTTAGTAAGGAAAAGAGATCTGATGACTGCAGATCACTTGCATGTCACCATTCTGAAACTGTGAAGCATCCCTGTGACTGCGTTAATTAGCTTTCCCTGCAAAAGTGTTTAAAACAGAGCAGGATAACTCACGTGATATCCCTGCGTTGATAGCAACCCTGAAGAAGGCAGGCGATCAGGTCACTGATAAACTCCACATCATCCCCGTGAAGAGCAGCTTCCAGTTCCTAATGAATAGAAGGGAGAGGGGGCAAAGATCAAACAAATTCCTCAAAAATACCCTTTTGCCAGACCAGGAGCAGGAACCCAAGTGGCCTAGCCACCATGTAATGCAACAGATGAAGCACATTTACAAGCTCAGCCAGCCCTTCTCCCAGAGCACCCACCAATAATACGCAAGGGCAGCTCAGATTTTTAATTTTTTATGTAAGAGTTGTTCAACAGTACCCAGCTTTTATTATACTCAGCTTCTCTTACTCTCCCATTGCAAGAACACATCTGGAAGATGATTTTGAAAAGGCAGATCTTGAAATGGTTTCACAAAACAGCTACTACCTACAGGAATAAACCTTCTAACAAAAGGCAGGAACAGAAACCAGGTCCAGTGAGACTGAGACACTGCAATATAATACGAAAGCCAAGGCCTGTACCACACCACACACTAACGGGAAGAAACTGAACAGTTTAATTCTGATGCTTCTACTTTCCTATTCACCAAAGTCTTCCTTGACAGTGGCGAATTCATTTACTCACCCAAGCCAAATAGCACTTTCAGGTAAGCAGTCAGAGCAGGATGAAAGCTAGGAAAGCAAAAGCTTGAAGTGAAGATGCTATTTGTTTCCTTGAAGGGATGCGCAGCTTTTTGGTTTTTTGGGTTTTTTTGTTTTGTTTTGTTTTGTTTTGTTTGTTTGTTTGTTTTGTTTTTTAAAAGACGTCTGAGAGGAGAGAGAGAGAGAGAGAGAGAGAGAGAGGGAAAAGAGAGGGAAGGAGGGTGGGAGAGATAGGTGATGTCAGACCATGAGATCTGTGCTCCCAAACTCCTTTTCCTTGAAACAGCATGGCTTATTTCAGTACAATGGAGCTCACTTAGAATTTGTAATATAGGAAATGACCTATAAAAAGCAGTAATTAATAAAAATCTTGTACATGCTGGGAGAATGTTTATTCTTCTCAAATTTCAAGATTTGCATTTATGCCTCAAAATGTAAAGAGATTAACTAAAATCATTTTTATTTTAGTTAACCTCTTATTTTGCAAAAAAAGTTTGCCAACAAAATAACAACAAACAATCTACTTTCTGTGAGTACAAGTAACAATACAAGAGGTAACAGTACAGTAAGAAGTAATTTAACATTGATCGTAAGAAGAGTCTCATATGGTTATGTGGGGTTTTTTTGCTTCTTTGTAAATATACTGTATGCAGATTTCTGGCTGAGTGTTACCCCATAAGCCATTATACTAATGGCTAGGTTAATAGGTAGAGAATAAAGGAGGATAATCAATAAAGAGGAAACATTTAAGTGCCAAGTACTCCTTGATTAGACCCCTGCAATTACAGTAATAAAGTTATTGATAATAGATTACAGATTAAGTGCTATTTGTACTATTTTATTCAAAGTCTTTAATAGAATCTTTTCATTACTACACCATTTTGATTTATATATAGGCTTGTAGCCTAAGTGTGCCATAAAACAGAAACTCACTATAACTCCTGTAAGTTTTTTGAAAACATGGAAACTGAGGCAGAGAGAGGTTAAGTGACTTGCCCAAATTCAGATGGCAAGTAAGTAGTGTAGGAACAGAGTCCAACAGCGCTCCCTGAGGCGCTTGACAGCACCATGGATTAACGAAATTAATGAGGATCATGGTAAGGCCTACCACCACCTACAGGGGGTGATGCTGAGAGCAAACAGGAGGTATAAGAAACTTATCTGGTAAATGGCCCACATCCTACATAATTTTTTTCTACTTCTAGGGCAGAGGCAACAAACTTTTCTAGCCCCACAGGCTGGATTAATGATGCAGGGTTGGCCCCATAAACTAAATCAGACCCATGGACCACTCCCCACTCCATATGCCAGATCCAGTAGATGCAGTGCCCACTCTGGGATTGCGCTGCATGTGGGTATTATTGTATGCAGCAGAGATCCCAGGCTGACCCTGCATGTATGACTGACCACACATCATAGACTAGACTGGCTCTAAGGCTGAGAAGCAGCACCAGGAGATAAATGACAAGGCTCTGTGGGCCAGACCCAACCCACTGGCCATATTTTTGACACCCCTGTTCTACGACATTAGCAAATCACCCTCTAACTTTCAATAAAATACACTTGCAAAACACAATGGACACCTACCTATACATGAGCATGGAGGCTGCTCTAATGCCCTGGAATTCCAGCATGTCGGAGCAGACTCAATTGATTGAGTTTGTTGGAGTGTGGCAATTACTGAGCTCCAGCAGCCTCCTGCATCTTGTGCATCAGTGTCCCCACTCTTGAAAACAGAGGCAGGGGCACTTGAACTAAAGCTCAAATGAGCTTCAGTTCAAGTGCTCCCCACTGCCATTTTTAAGCGTGGGGATACTGATACATGAGACATGGTAGCACTTTAAATGAGAGAGACTCTCAGAGCCACTTTTATTAAAATGCCACCCTCCTAACCCCGGAGCACATGTAAAAGTGCCAATGTGACAGGATAGCTACGCCTCTTCAAATAAAACCTACAGACAAACTACAGTTTGTAGACAATGTAATGTTAGGACACAGGAAGAAAGGAAAGTAATGTGCCTTTTCCATTTTAGAACACTTGCACCTAAAACTAGTGGGTCCACCAAATCTAGTGTAATATCCAATTTTGGGCATTAAAGCAGTCATTCAACTTTGTCTCTGCCATGATGTGCCTACCTTTTATCTCATGGAATATTCAAATGGTTTCCCTGCGAGTGTTTTTAACATGCTGTTTAATTAAGAATCATTATACAGTGGCCACAACCGACTAAGAAATTCCAGTATTTGCTATGATTATTTTCAAAAGTACTAGGGATAAAGGGTAAAAATCCTGCTGACCTTTACATTTTCAGCGTTCACAAGCCACTAATAACGATCTAACATGTATTCTATAGGCACTGGAAAGGTGCTACTGTAGGAAGAAACATACAGGATGACAGACCAACAGAAAGGCTGATCAACTGTTTTTACCAAAATCCATGGCTGGAACACACCATCGCGCAGCAGCGCAGGGACACAGCCAGGCACCTGGGGCAAAGCGGAAGCAGCAACTTCCAGTTGCTGCCATGATCGTGAACACATGGCTGCCAGCAACAGCCACCTTTTTTTTTTTTGAGAGAGAGAGAGATTTCAAACCAACAAAACTAATCATTCACTAAAGCACTAAAGGGAGTGGAAACAGGGAAAGAGAAAGCAGTTTGATTTATTCTTGAAGTTCAGCACCTCTCACTTCTGGGATCAAGCCCCAATCCCCGCACCATGTTGTATGAAGCAGCAAAAAGGAGGTTAGTTGCAGGGTCAGTCTGACTGTTTTTGTGACAGAAACAGCTACTGAGATGCCCACTTTGATAGCTGATGGTAAAAAAAAAAAAGATACTGGTTTGTAATCCTTCCCATAAGGTCCCTGTCTACTTCTTTTTCTGTAGCTATTTGGGTGTTCCACTGTGAGCAGTTAGGGAGAAACACGGTATTTAATTTAATGCCTACAGAATCGTTTGCTGGCCTGTTTAAGTTGATGACATTATTCTCCAACCAGGCAGATTCCCCCAGCTTGTAACCTAAAAGAGCTCCTCCTGACATCCTCCAATGTGCAGAGTGCTCATTGAAGGCAATGAACTTCAGTGGTTTGGTGTCGGACACACTGGAGGATCTGCCACTCTTACCATCTCAGCTTGCAAACAAAGAACAGACAAGAAACCGGTACATCCAGCAGTTTAACCCAGATTCCTAGAAAAAGCAGCAGTTTGGTAAGCTTTACCCCAAACAATGGAAAGCAAAGCTAGATACATAATAGCTAGTTGAGCATTTAAGCAAGAGGTAAGAAAGGTATGCGGCAACTACTGCTTCTAGAAGCAGACTAGAAAGTCAGGGCTCTGGCTAACTTTACCCCTCAGTGCTCTGACCCACAGTTCAGTCCTGGGATAGGGCAGTAAGTGACTCCCCCGCCTCACCATCACCACCATCCCACCCCCTACCCTGCAACCTTTTGTTTTTCCCTTTTCTCTTTGAGCACTGAGCTGTAAGCACAGAAATCTGAACCTTGCCAAAATGCTTTGGGGACACAACAGAAAGGAAACAGAAGAGGCAGCAAATCAGCAGACAGAAGGGGACCCAGTTCCTCCTCCTCCTCTGTAGTTTGAGACAGCAACAGACAGTAGAAAAGCAGGATTCTCCCCCTCTCCAGCTGGCGTCACAGCTCATTAGGGAAAAGCCTGTTTAACGTCTTTCCCTCCCCCCATCCCCATGACTAAATCCCTCTGAGTCATGCAATGGCTGTTGGGAAAAAAAAGCATTACACAGAGCAAGGGTAACCATCCTCACCAAGGAGAAGCAGTGGCCTGAAGCAGGGTTATCTGGGGGAGGAGAGGGGGCAGAAATAGATCCCTCAGCACTAGCTGAAAAATGGCTTGTAGTTCAGCTTTAGGAAATCTGAGATGTCTAGAGGGCTAATGTTTTGCCCTGCTCAGGGGACATGTAACTACCCCCTTTTTCCCCTCACTGGCAAACCCCAGTAGGTATAATCAACCCTTTCAATGCTCTAATGGAGGCACTGAAGTTTGTGTGAAGGGACTACTGGCATGCATTTTTATAAAACCCACTTTTCTACCCCTCCTGCCGCTGCATTTTACTGCTCACAATTTCTACCTCATCCCTCTCTGAAGGGCCTCTGCAGGATACACATACACTGAATGGCCTTTCCAGTAATGACAAAGGTCAACAGCAGAAAGCTAAAAGACAGCTTTTGCTGTCCACCCATCTTCTTGAAGACAATCTCATCAAATATAATCCAACTCAAAAAAAAAAATCAAAATGAATGTGTCAGTGTCAAAGCAACAAAGCCCTCAGGACAGTTATGGACTGTCACATAGATGATAAAGGAACCACCAAATAGAGTAACATGCATTTATTTTTGACAATGCAAATTACTTGTGGTGCTCTAGCTCCTGCCCTAGCAACCTGCCCACATAGGCCTTGGTGTCATGGTCACAAAGCTCTGC